TGACTTGGGAATCACTTTCAATTATGATCTTTCGGAAGTTACGTTCCATGCATATGCGAATGCCTTCCAAAATTGCTTTCAGCTCTGCCCATATGTTAGTACTGTGACCATAGAAAGTATGAAAAGCATAAATAAACTCCCCTTTATCGGCCGTAGTCACCCCAACTTCGCTACAATTACCAGGATTTCCTATGCAACATCGATCAATGTTTAATTTAACCAAGGTAGGGAGAGGAGGTGTCCAACTGACGAACTTAGTGACTTTATTATGCAGTTTTTGAATCTGAATTCCCGAAGCTCGTAATGCAATGCAATCAGACAAAGATAGCCTAGTTACGTTAGCCGTATTACACATAGTTCACCCATCCACCACTTCTCTGAAGCCTAAATCTGATCACAATTAATGGCCACTCCTTCCATCTTTTTTTGGCATCTTGCTGTCTAAATAGCCCAGAAAATTAGAACAGGAGAAAAGCCAATAATCATGCTTACCTAGGATGTCCTTGATGCCTTAAAGAACCAAAATTTCATTCTTTGCCCCCAACCCATCGATGTAATGTGAGAGATGCCTATGGCCATTGATATCTATGCCCATAGGAAATTCGCCAGGTCGCTGCCATCCAACAAATGGTCAAGGGAGTCAATATGAGGTGTAGCACAACATACATATTTTGATGCTAAGGAGATCCCCACCATTTGTATTCTTTCATCAACACCGAGCGCATTATGTATAGCTTTTTAAGTGATGAAGGAGATTTTTTTGGAATTAAAGGGTGCCACACCCATTTATGCTAATCTACACCACTGTATGATTTGTGAGGAAAATATTTTGCTTTTAGGAACTCATATAGTAGAGAATCTGAGAAATAAATTTTCCAAGCAAATCTTGTTTTAAGAGCCACTTGTACTTCTAAGTCTTGGATGCCTAGTCCTCATTCTGATAAAGGTTTGGTAATATTTCCAAAGCTCACCCAGTATCGCTTAGCTTTGCCATCTACCTCTCTCCAAATAAAATTTAAGATTAATAATTGAGATTAATAAGTGAATCTAGTGAATAACCCCTTTAGGTAAGCACATGACCGATAAGATATGTATAGGCATGTTTGAAAGGACATGCTTAACAAGAGTTAATCTTCCTCCAGCTCATAAGAGTAAAAATTTCCAGACAAATATTTTCTTTCTCACCTTCATAACTAGTGGCTTAAAATGTCTGATGCAAAATGGCCTGGAGACATTGGAATGCCCAAATAAGAAATTGGAAAAGACCATTGTGTGAAGTTACTCAACTGGAGTGCTTCATTCTTTCTCGACAAGGATATGTGCTTCGAGAAAAATATAGCTGATTTTCTATGATTTACTTTCTGTCCTGACATATTTTCATAAATGTCTAGGATCTCCACCACTATTTTAATAGATGCTTTATTGCCATTACAAAAAATAATTAGATCGTTAGCATATAACAGGTGAGAGATACGAGGTGCTTCAATAGGAAGAGAGTAATTTCCAATGCGTTGTTCCAAACAAGCCTATCGTAGCATGCATGTAAGAGTCTTTTCTGCAATAATAAACAATATGGAGAGAGCGGATCTCCTTGACAGATTCCTAGGAAAGATTTGAAAAACCCTCGATAAGTACCATGCATCATCACCGAGAATGAAGATGTGTCAATACAGTTTTGTGTTAATTGGAAAAATCGTGTAGAGAGACCGAAAGAGTTTAGGGCTACCATCAAGAAGTTCCATTCAACCCTATCATACACCTTCATTATGTCTACTTTAAGCATTACATTCCCGCCTTGTATCTTCCTATTAAAGCTCTGAAGTAGCTCTTGTACAAGGGCAGTATTGTCAAAAATACGTTGGTCCCCTATGAAAGCCCCTTGTTCTTTTGAGATAAATTTATGAAGTAAAGGTTTCAATCTATTAACCATTACCTTGGCAAAGCATTTGTAGATCACCGAACATAAGCTAATGGATCTGAAGTCTCCAAAGCCGCTAGGAACCTTGACTTTTGGGATGAGAACAATATAAGTTGATGTGTAAAAATTGTGGAGCATCGTACCACCAAAAAAATCTACCGTAGCCTCCCAAACATCTTCTCCAACGATATCCCAACAACTCATATAAAAACTTGATGAGAAACCATCAAGCCCAAGGCTACTACCCTATGGAATGCTTTCATTGCAGCTTTCACTTCTTCACGAGAAGGAGCCTCACCCAATTTGATATTATCTTCCAATGATATGCTCGGTGTAATCAATGCGTTCAATAATTTAATCCTCCGTATGACATTATCAGTCGTTAGTAACTCGTGAAAGTATTTTACTGCTCCACCATGGACTGCTTGTGGGTTGTCAAGTGTTGATCCATCCTGTAAAGTCATGCTACAATACCATGAAAGAACTTGGTGTTGGCATCCCCCTCTTTTAGCCATTTCACTTTGGTTTTTTGTGCCAAGAAAATTTCTTCCTGTCGAATCCAATCCTTCAATTCAAGTCTTGTTGCAAATAATTCCCTTTCATCAGAATTTAAAACTTGATCGTCCAACTTGACAATTTTGTCTTCCAACTAATGCAACATTTGATATTTCCCAAAATCGCCTTTATTCCACTTTCTCAAAATTGGTTTTAACCTCTTCAATTTTTCTCCAAGTTTGAATAAGCCCAAGCTTCTAGTTGGCTTTTCCCAAATTTCTTTGACAAGGGATAAGAAGTCTGCATAATCTACCCACATCCGCTGAAAAGCAATCTAGTCGTGCATACCTAAACAAAATTCGCACAAGTCACCCCGTATTCCTCTAGTTGCTGGGGAATGTGGTAAACGTATGTTGATTTATCCATAGAAAGCATGGCGCTGAATAAATACTTGATAGATAAACAAAGTCAAGTCCGAAATTAAGAACGATGATGTTGATTCGAATTTATTTATTTATTTTCATTCTAAGTAGCTTTACCATAGCAAAGTTATATGGAAGATTGCGTCTATATATTTTCAAGTATTTAGAAAGTTGTTCCTAAATCTAGTGTATTGTACATTTTCATACGTGCATTTCAGGTTTTATGCAGCAGAAACTCTTTTGGCCATAGAGTATCTCCACATGTTGGGCATTGTTTACAGAGATCTTAAGCCAGAAAATGTTCTTGTTAGAGGAGATGGTCACGTTATGCTTTCAGATTTTGATCTCTCTCTCAAATGTGAAAGTGTCCCCAAACTCATAAGAGCTAAACTTGAACAAGAAGCCGCCATTAATAAAAATCCCAAGTGCTCAACTCCCTCCTGTGCCATGCCTATACAGCCAGTGCTCTCATGTTTTTCAACTTCCATGAAAGAAGGTATTATAACATCATAATATTATTAAATTATAATTATTCTCAACTGTATTATATAATTTTATTAGCAAACTATGTTTTTTTCTCTCCAGGTCTAACAAAAGACAGAACTCAAGGTCCAACAATTCCAAAACTGAAGGATGTCCAACAACAATAGAATTCTGAATTAGTAGCAGAACCTATTAATGCTCGATCAAAATCCTTTGTCGGAACACACGAGAACTTGGCACCAGAGGTCATCTCCGGGCAAGGACATGGAAGTGCTGTAGATTGGTGGGCATTTGGTGTGTTTCTATACGAACTTTTGTACAGTACGACACCGTTTAAAGGAGAGAACAATGAGAAAACTCTCATCCATATATTGAAGCAACCATTTACCTTCCCGAGAGTGGGAATCAATAGCAGCAAAGAATATGAAGAACTGGTGAAAGTCCAGGATTTAACAAGCAGGCTTCTGGTGAAGAACCCCAAGAAAAGAATTGGAAGCCAAAAGGGCTCTGTTGAGATTAAGAGGCATGAATTCTTCAAGGGAGTGAATTGGGCTTTGATCAGGACCGTTAAACCTCCTGAGGTCCCTTATAATCATCGAAAAGTCAAGTGCAAACCAAAAATACAAAAGTTAACCAAGAAAGAAAGGAATGCAGCGTATGAAATCCCAAATCACTTCGACTACTTTTAATTGTAACGACTAAAAGTTAACTCATAGTGCACTTTAGCCAAAGGTCCGGCTGAACTCCTCTTAAGTCTGTTATTTATTATTATTATTATGATTTTTTTGGTTATCAAGAAAATTGAGATCTGCTGTCCAAAATCGATTGTCCAACATAGAGTGCTTAAAAAATGAGATTTCGGTTTGCAAAAATCCTTCATTGCTAATTTATTTGAGCAAGCATTTGAGTGATTGGTATCACTTGAGATAATACAACTGACTCCAACTTATATTTAGAATAAGAGAATCTTGTTAAATATATGTGGTTGAAGGATTTAAATTTCAGTATCAGTATTTGTCATCTGTTATATTAGTAAAGTACATCTGTGATATGATCACAAGATAAAAAAGGCATTAAAAGAAGAAGCTTGACGAGTAAAAATAATTAAAAGAGCAAAAAACTGTCATTTTATCCCATTTCTACTTTTTAAATGGATAATTATATTCACACCTTAACATAACTTTTACAAGAACAAGTTTTTGCTCTTAAGTCTACCACATTCTGAATTCCAGCTTTCCATTTTTCTCCAGAATCTTCATAATTCTTCATCCAGCTTCATTGTTCCATCGTTCACAAGATCCGCTTTAACTACGATCGTTGTCATCAAATACACCCTAATTTATTTGATAATACATTTACAATCGAAGAACAGTGTCAATTAAGGTCAACATGCCGAGTCTAGGTACCAGAAAAATTCAGACAAGTAGTAGGCAAAATGATGCAAGCGGAAGTGTAAAGAAGAATAACACAAGATTACTAAAAGAAATTTGCTAGATAAGCAGGGGGCCTGCCCACCAATAGGTGGGGCAGGGGGGTCTCGCCATGGGTGGGGTTCGGACAGGCCCCATGTTTTTCTAGCAAGTCTCTTACTAAAATGTCATTTTCGTACAAATAAGCAATTAAAAAGATATTTGAAGAACAATCTTCAAGGATTTAATTATATTAATCAAACAACCGTAACCACACACCCATGTCCTATGTTATACAAACAAAAATAAAAATAAACTCAAAAACTATGAATATCCAAGCTCAACAATGATAGGTCAGCATCTCATTTCAACTATGTGTCAACTGCAGAAGGCTCTCAATCTGTAAACAAAACTCAACAACAAAAAATGGATAATATCTTAAATCCACTCTTCAATTTCATTTTCCTTGAAATGAAAATCCATTTTCTATTCTGAATCAAAATTTCTCTATGCAGAAAGAACTATCAATTCTGTTACTTTCTTCTACATATTATAAATGGCGTGTATAGCTTCAGTATCGTTCATGGGAATAACTCAATCCGTAGACAGGAATTTGACTCGTAGTTTCGGTAGCAATTTTGATGCATTCAAGTTTCGTGGCAAACATTTTTTCACTTAACTTTCCAGCTTCTAGTCCTCGTATGACAGCTCACTGCATGTCCACTGCCACGGGTAATTTTATTATCATTTTTAATTACGAGGAAATTACACGGAGATATCACTTTTAGCGAGAAAAAGATACAATTTTCTGTTCCAGAGTGTTCATTTTACAAGAATATTGAACCATCCAGGCATTCTGAACAAGTTGTTAATTTTCTAGGATAGACTTGAAAAATTTCAAGAACATTTTCCAACTTAATTTATGAATATTTGGAATAAAATGGTGAATCTTAGTGATTCTGTTAATCTGTTTCAGCTTTCTTAAATGACATTGTTGCCCAATTCCGAGTATATACAGTACTGTATTACAAGAACTTATCATACAGCAACATTCGTGTGGCCCTGTTTGCACTGGGTTTTGTCACTGTATATGATCAACTCATGGATGGGTACCCAAGTGACGAAGATCGAGACACTATTCTTAAAGCTTACATCGAACCTTTGAATGAGGATCCTGATCAATATAGGCATGTATCCTCCATTTTCGATTTTTCCATATTTTGTCTCTGAATATAAGTGAATTTTGAAGCATTTGTTATTGGATTCAGGGGAAAAAGGAAAAAAATAAAATAAAGGTTCCCAGTGAGTCGGTGCTGAAAATAATGAACATGACAAGTATTTTGGAAGTGCAGGGACAAAATGTTCTTCTCCAGAGGGGAAAACAAAAATTGACAGGCTCTCATGTGCATTTTGATAGGGATGTACCAAGCCACTAACTTGTAATCAGTTGATTGAGAATCTCATTATTCTATCTGTCATATCATTTATTTGCAGGAGAACAAAAACTATCAACGTGTATTTTTTACTGGTTCAAGTTGTATCAGTTATGGTCTTTTTGTTGATGCGCGTATTAAGGGTTCAAGTATTACATTTCAGGCTGATGCACAAAAAATGGAAGAATGGGCTAGTGCACAAAATGCCAGTACCATAGTTGATTTTGCATCCAGGGAAGGAAAGATTGATGGCATATGAAGGACATTGCAGAAAGAGCTCAGACCAAGGGAAGTTTCAGCTATAGTCGGCCCTTTGCATTCGATCTCTTTCACCTCTGGAGCCAGCAAATGCAACCAAGCCTAATATTTTTCGGGAAGGTAAAGGTTTGGCAGTTTTATTAGAATTTCCATATTCTAAAGCCTGATATGGAGAATATATTGTTGTCAGGTTCTGTTTTTATACAATCTTTGATAAGAATGTTAAAATAGCCATTTTATTAGTCAGGTGTTTGATGAGTGTCTCCCTTTTCTTATCACAAATCACTCTACATTTGTTAGATTATTGATTATAAGATATGGTTAATGATTATTTCTAGATTATAAGTATTTTATTTTCACTTTTCCTTTCATCTGTCATGGATTATGAGTATTTTGTTACTGCTGAATACATGTTCTCACTGGTTTATTTCTTTGTTCGTGTGACTGCTATGTGTTTCACTACATGTAGTAAGAAAAGCGTTGATCGTGATCTTGATTGGTTCAAGCAAAAGAGCTGTTAAAAGAATATGTTGACAGGTAATAATTTCCTCCTAAGTCCATAATCACTTAAAATGTTCCATCTAACAATTCAGAGAATCCTTTCAATGTTAGGGAGAAAAAGTAAAGGGAAGAAACGGGTAGAATCTCAGAATGCAAAAGAAACCATTACATGATACTCTGGAGAATACCAATACGCTGGGCAGTAATGCAAAATTTATCTGTTACCAATTAGTAAATATCCCCGGAGGAACAAACTAGTAAGCCAATCATAGCTTTACCATAGATGACAATTATTAGAATTTGGTTGTGATCCGAATTCTTTGTTAAATATAATTGAGAGTTCTAACTAAATCGCACATTAGGAAAAATGCTATTTGGAATACTATTATGAAATCCTGTTCAAATTTACTAGGCAAATTCTAATTGAAGTTCTCTTTGGAAGTCCATTGGGAGTAGGAATTTGTGTTGGACTTGAAGAGGATATTGGGATGAAGAAAATCAAGATTTTGGAGTAAAGGACCCAAAAGTGGGCGTCGTGGCACCAATGTTGCGACGTCGCAGCGCCGGGCCTGTGGTGCCGTAGCACCACCAGTCTGTTTCGGCTCTTGCGCAGTTTTTCCTCCTCTACTCCACTTTGCACTTTGTTTCTTACATTCTACTTCAACTACAACTTTACTATGAGGGTTTGGACATCCCCTTTATATAGTTAGCTTGTCATTATGATTTAAAAAGGATTTAAAAACATGTAAATATATAATCTTCGAATTCTTTTTCCATATTATAATAAAATCTTCATTCTCTGCAAAATTTCATTGTTCTTGTGATCAATTACTTCATATTACGACTTAATCTCTTATTTTTCCCAACAAAGTGCATTGGATTAATCCCTTATCATTTTCGTTCCTTGTATCTTTTATGTTCATTATTTTGCTCATCAACTGTGAAAAAGCAATAGTTCGACCCAACCAACACCTAGAGGGGGGGTGAATAGGTGTTTATGCGGAATTAAAACAATCAATTAACTGATGCAACAAGTCACATCAATTATGCATTGCCTAGATTCATTCACATACTTTATCTACCTAAGTTGAATTACCGGTTGAAAAATAAATAGCAGAAAGCAGTAAAAACACAACAAAATGCTGACGGAGAAAATCCAATTGGGTAAAAACTCCGGGCACAAGCCAGTAGAGATCCACTATAGAAGATATTGACTTACAGTATGTCAGACATTATTGATTCCAACAATATTCTGACCTCCATACTGTATCAACCACAGCTATCCTGGATTTTGCAGATCTGTGCCAAAATCTCAGCTTTGAATATCTTCTACCTCCTGTGAATCACCAAGCTCTCCAGTTCTTCAAGCAATTTCCTTCCCGGATCTTCAAACAGATGATCTTCTGGAAGTTTATATGGAGATATGAAAGGGTGTTTTGGTTTTGTGAGGGTTGATGTTTTTATTCAAAGAACCATAAGAATCAAAGATGAAAAAGAAGAATTTATTTTGGTTCTTGATCCTTTGGAAGTTGAGAGAATTTGTTGTTTTAATGTTTGCCAAAGGTGCGATAAGAAAATCGGACGTTTTGTTTATATAGTAGGTCGAATTTGGTAATATAGGCGTTAAAAATTCGCGAGGCATTAAAATTACCAAAGGCCAGATAACATAGTCGCTCGAGCGAGGTCCTGGCGAAACTCGAGCGACGTACCTTCGCTCAGGCGATAGACCAGCGAAACTCCAGCGAGGTCAGTTCTGCAATTTTGGCTCTAGCAAGGTCAGGGCGAAACTCCAGCGATATCAACGCGCCGTTTGCATCTTCAAAGCATCCTACTTTACCCTAGACCTATGCTATGACCTTTAGTAAATTGCAACTTTAGTCCCTGAACTATTTGACCTGTACAATTTAGTCCTTGACTTTACAATTTTGACAAATAGGTCCTTTGGTCATAGATTGCCAATTACACATTTTCCTAACAAACTCCCCCTTTGGCATTCTGTGACAAAAATACATATGACAGTCAAGGACAAAAATAAACATGACTCCAAACAACCTATCTATTCAACTAAAGTAGCAATCTCTTGTTGAACCTGTTTCCTGAAAATCACAAACTCAAATACCAAGTGTAAAAGCATATGAAATGGAAACTGTAAACAAGAAATCGATCATATGTCATTAACCAGATTAAGAAGCAATAATAATGTAAGTCAAAAACACCAAAAACATACATTAATATTGCCAAAACATCAAAAAACTTAATCTAGTCATGAAGTATAACACAATTACCAAAAAATTGAAGATCTATCGATCTACACAATTACCAAAAAATTGAAGATCTATCAATCTATCTATCCAAATATCTACTCCCCCTTTTCGTCACAAAGGACAAAGATCAAAACAATGAACTAACGAACTATGATGCAGCACCACCAGCATCTGAAGAATCAGCTCCGCTCTCAGCACCCGTGTCCTCCTCCATACTATCACGAATCCAACGCAAATGACGCTGACAAACTGCAAGAGCACGGCGAAAAGAAGAAAGCTCAGCTGACTGACGCTCCGACGCAGCACATAACTGCGTGATCTCTGCTATCATACGAGCCTGCTGCTCAACCAAAGTAGACATCTGTCCCATAGGCGTCACCATGGGGTCAACGGGCAAAGCAGCCACCCCAGGAGCAGAAGTAGAAGTAGACGTGGAAGGAAAGGCAAAAGTAAGTGGAATGGTCGAAGGAAAAGCCGTACGAGGTGGGAGAAACACACGGGAACCCCCAGTAAGAATCTCAGTAATAGGATCAAAGGGCTCCGAAAGATCAAAAACATCAACGACCGCTGCCTGACCTGTAGCATGAGCAGAAGAGGAAGATGACTGTACATGAGATCGACTCTGATGAATGGTCTACTATCCTATCGGACGGCCTATGCGACAAGTCGAACCCTCTGGAAAGGAAGCACCCAACGACAAAGCAACCCTATGAATCAAGCAAGCATAAGGCAACCCGATCCGACTCCCAGGAGTACGAAATGAAGCCAGAATATTCTGGCACACAAAACTAGGAAAGTCGATCGAGTCCCCATGAAGAAGAGCATAAAGAAAACGGGCACACACCATAGGTAATGAAGAGGTATGGGCAACCGGCCACAGGTTTGTACACACTATGTGCAACAACACCTGACGATCAGTAGGTAATGACCCCGTGGCCATCGCCGAAGGCCCCCCTATAGACGGGATGTTCAAAAGCATCGACCGAACAAGAGAATCGGCCGGAATAGAAGCAGGTAAAATATATGGATAAGTCGGATGGGTAATCTGAGGTATACCTAAAGCATGAGCTACAGTCGACGGAGTAACCCTAAAAGAATGACCTCTAAGAGTAACCCGAAAAGACGAGCCGTCTATATCATGAATATTAGCATAGAATTCCTGAACGAGGAGAGGGGGAGGAGGTGAAAGACCAACAAGAAGGGGCTCCCAACCCCGGGAAACAAAAATGGCGACGATATCAACAGGAATGTCAGAGAGGATTACCTCACGCTCCATGAGAACGGGGCGTAAGGAGAATTGAGAAGTGAAGACCTCCTGAGTTGTAGCAGAAATGAATCTGGAACGACTATACGACGTTGAACCACTAGCGGGCTGCGTAGAAGGTCGAGAAAGCTTACCGGCCATCTGACACATGGAGAGACGGAACTCAATTAGTAAGATGAAGAATGCACGGGGTACGATGCAATATGAAATGAAACACCGCACACATAAATGAGGCACGAAAGAGATGCATCGAAAAACGTGAACGACCCTAAGAGCAAACCAAGCATGATGTAAATATACACCAAAAATATGTGTACAAACACTCAACAAGTCACGTGACGAGAATGAAACAAAGGCCGAATGAAGAGGAGGAAAAAATGAAACACACAAACTAAGGAAAACAAACAAAATAAAACAGGGAACTTTCATCGAACACATGACGGGCGTCACTTTGGCACACAATTCCAAGCACATACGAGACCCAACCACGCATCCAAGCATAGTCCCACAAACTAGAATCCAAGGGCTATAAAATGAAACAAACCACACATCAAACAGATTAACGGAATGCAAGAACGAATAACACGAACATGGACTAAAAACACCAAAAGTCCATTACTAAACCACGGGAGAACACACAATGTAATGTAATTTGTGATGCAAAATGCGAAGAATAACAAGAATAACAAACAAGAAACGCAAGAAGATCATGACAAGGGAAAAAGAAACAATCAAAATGCAAAAAGAAACTAAACACAAGAGGAAAGAAAAAAAAAGAAAGAAAAAAAAACGAAAAAACAATTACCTCAAAACGATGTGCAAATGTTGAAATCCGGAAGCAAATATTGTTAGGGGCTTCGAAATTGTGGAAGAAACAAGTGTGACGTATGAATTGTGTAGGAGTCGAAGCAATTGGTGAAAAAATGAGAGAGAATGGAGAAGAATGCGCGAAAAATGAAAGAGGTGACTTTTAAAAATGCACTGTCGCTCGAGAGAGACATGGGCGACAGTCGAGCGAAAAGCGTTCTGCATTTGTCGCTCGAACTAAGTATGGGCGACACTCGAGCAAAGTTCAAATGTCAGAAATAGCACTAAAATTTTGAATATGGAGAAAAAGAACACAATTATCAAGAAATGATGAAATTAGCCCCAAATCGTGTATTTTCAAAAATAAGACAAGTGCAGAGCATCGGAAACACGAAGCATGGGACCAATTATGTAAACTAATCCAACAATAAGCATAAAGTCACAACCTCGACACTCAGCACATAGACAAATCGTAAGTCCACACATAGTTCAAAATCCCGTGGAGTAAAGTGTATATAGAACATCATCGTGAAAAGTGCCACATAGTCCACTCAAGTGAGACTCAAAAACCTTAAATTAGTGAGAAAGGACACGTGAAAACAACCAGACAAAGGTGTATGTCTACCAAGTGACAGTCAAATCCAATTCCACGAGGACCTATATCAAATATTAGATTGTCACAATTTTACTCCCCCTAATTGTATGATTCCATAAATTTTTTTTTAAACAAAAGAACTTAAGTGCAATGCTATCCCCATTAGGCGACATAAATGACCCCGGTAACGAACTTTGGGCCGGTGACTCCCAAGTCAGATGACCATAAGGCACCAGGTTAGAAACCCCTCAGGCTTAATTGTTCGAGTCAAATAGGCCCCGAAGACAGTCATAAGTTCAACAAAATAAAGTGGAGAAAGACAATATGATTAGGTGACATTAGTCCCAGATCAAGTCAAATGGACACATAACCCCAATCACAGAAGAACACCATCTAAAGTCTCACCCATACGGTCAAGGCTCACTCATAGGACTACAGTGTGTGCTGTACAAAAATGAATGATGAGCCATATACCCAGAACTCCACAGGCAAAGAGAACGATAATGGAACCTCAGACTTATACATATGATGAAAAATAGAGTTTGATCTTTAATGCAAAAGCCATTATCGTCACAAAAAAGGCACACACACACACACACAAAAAATCCCATGTTATTTTTATGGTTTATTATGTTTTTTATTTATTTATTTTTATTGTGTTTTGTTTTTTTTTTCCATATTTAAACACACAAAAGAAGATTAGACGACAAACTAACAATAAAAAATGCGTCACACACACACAAATCACATGCAAGATATAAAGTGACTAGGTGCATATGTGATGAATGCATGAATATGCATGAATCCAAGATCAGATAGGTGAGCAAACACCAACAGTCGTCCGAAGCGACTCAAACCTCAATCCATCTAGTGGTTTCGTAAGTAGATGTGCCAATTGATTATCAGTAGAGACATGGTCGAGAGAGACTACATGTGATTCAACAAGCTCACGAATAAAATGATGTCGGATGTCAATATGTTTTGTTCGAGAGTGTTGAATGGGATTCTTAGAAATATTTATAGCACTTGTATTATCACAGAAAACAGTCATGGTCCCTTAACTAATCCCATAATCACTCAGCATCTGCATCATCCAAAGAAGCTGAGTGCAGCAATTCCCTGCAGCTATGTATTCGGCCTCTGCCGTGGATAGAGATATAAAATTATGTTTCTTACTCAACCAGGCTACGAGATTGCTACCCATGTAAAAACAACCCCCTGTCGTGCTTTTCCTATCATCCGCATTTCCGGCCCAATCGGCGTCGGAGTAACCAGCCAAGTCAAGATTAGAATTCCTAGAATAGAATATTCCTAGATCAACTGTTCCACTCACATATCTAATGATGCGTCTAACAGAGCTCAAGTGTGATTCTTTTGGATCTGCCTGAAATCGAGCACACACTCCAACACTAAAAGTAATGTCAGGTCTAGTAGCTGTGAGATAAAGAAGACAACCTATCATGCTTCTATATAGGGAAGGTTCGACACTCTTACCTAAAGCATCACGACCTAACTTCAAACTAGTACTCATAGTTGTCCTAGTATGCTTCTTACTATCCAGCCCAAAGCGCTTAACTAGATCCTTAGCATAATTAGATTGTGAAATGAACAGTCCATCCTCTGTCTGTGTCACCTGAAGTCCAAGGAAATAACTCAACTCCCCAACCATACTCATTTCAAATTCTTGCTTCAAACACTCAGCAAACTCATAAGCTAAAGACTCAAGAGGAGAACAAAAAATAATATCATCAACATAAATCTGAGCAATGGTGATAGTTTTTTCAACATGTCTAATAAATAAGGTCCTATCTGCACCACCTCGAGAGAATCCATGTTCTTTAAGGTATGATGTAAGTCTCTCATACCAAGCTCTGGGAGCTTGCTTCAGACCATAGAGGGCTTTGTGAAGTTTGTAGACATAGTGGGGAAACTTAGGATCAACAAATCCTTTTGGTTGTTCCACATAGACTTCTTCTCGAAGAAGTCCATTCAGGAAGGCACTCTTAACATCCATTTGATGCAACTTGAACCCTAAGGTACATGCAACAGCAAGCAGAATCCGAATAGACTCAAGTCGTGCAACAGGGGCAAAAGTCTCATCAAAATCAATTCCTTCAACTTGAGTATAACCCTGAGCAACTAGTCTAGCCTTATTCCTAGTTATAGTACCTTGGTCATCTGTCTTGTTCTTAAAGATCCACTTAGTACCTATAACATTACAATTCTCAGGTCTGGGAACTAAGATCCACACATTGTTCCTTGCAAATTGATTGAGCTCCTCATGCATCGTATTCACCCAACACTCATCACTAAGAGCCTCTTCAACTTTCTTAGGTTCTACCTAAGAGACATAGCTAGTGTATGCTATATTGTTCAGTACTCTCCTACGAAGCCTCATACCTTTATCTAGATCCCCAATGATATTGTTCTTAGGATGATTAGACTTAACCCTAGTCGATGGTTCCTTAGGATCTTTATCTCAATCTTGTGGAAATATTTTCTTTTCAAGTGTTTCAGGTTTCCTAAGAGATGATTCAGACACAGGTGGCTTAGTAGGATCACTAGAACTTATAAGATCACCATCTTTATCACAATTTTCAACACTCTCCCCCTCACTCACAGCATCATCTATCACAACATTTACTGACTCCATCACCACATGAGTACGTAAGTTATACACCCTAAATGCTCGGCTATTTCTAGAGTACCCTAAGAAGATTCCTTCATCACTCTTTGATTCAAACTTACTCAAGTTCTCTCTATCACGCAAAATATAGCACTTACTCCCAAACACTCGAAAGTACTTAACAGTAGGCTTTTTACCCTTAAGTATCTCATATGGAGTCTGATCGGTCTTAGGTCTAAGGTAAACTCTATTAATTATGTGGCATGCAGTGTTAACAGCTTCTCCCCAAAAATGTAAGGCTAGTCCCTTGCCATGAAGCATGACTCTAGCCATGTCCTGAAAAACCCGATTCTTCCTTTCAACCACCCCATTTTGTTGAGGAGTGATAGGCGAAGAGAACTCATGCAATATCCCTTCATCCATACAGAAACTTTCAAGATTAAAATTCTCAAACTCTTTTCCATGGTCACTATGCATTCTAGACACTTTGAGATTTAGTTGATTGCTAAGCCGTTTACACAAAGATTTTATGAGATCACATGCATTAGATTTTTCCCTAAGCAATTCTATCCATGTAAATCTCGAGAAGTCATCTACCACAACAAGAATGTATCGCTTACCACCTAAACTCTCAGTCCTAGATGGTCCCATTAAATCCATGTGTATCAATCCTAGGGGTCTTTTGGTCAGAAATTTTGAAGTCTTCTCATGGTTCCCCTTAAGTTGTTTACCTAGTTGACATGGTCCACACACAACATTTTCACTAGGACCTATCTTAGACAAACCATCTACCAATTCTTTCTTAGCCAATTGTACTAGACTCTTATAGTTCAAATGACCTAATCTTTTGTGCCAGAGTTCACTCACATCAATTTTAGCACTCCTACACACATAGTTAGAATTAGGCAAGACTCCATAACAATTATCAATTGTTCTAACCCCTTCAAGAACCACCCCACCAGACGAATCATACACAGTACATCTCTTTTGCACAAAACTCACCTCAAAATCAGCATCACAAATTTGACTAATACTTAACAAGTTAGACTTCAAACCTTCCACATAAAGCACATTAGAGATCACAGGTAAACCATGGATTTGTACAGTACAT